CTGTGTAACACTTTTTTTTTAGGGAAGAGCTTTTTTTTAAAAAAGGCGGGAGGGGGGGTTGGAAAAGACATGTCCAGATTCATTTTACTTTCGAAAGACCCACTTTTGAAAGTGAGATTGGAAGAAGATATGCAAATTCCCCAGGAATTCCTGAGGAATTTGCATATCCTCTTTTGAAAATAATGGTAGTCTAGACATAGCTCATAATGAGGCCAGACATAGCAAACAGATTCATTTGTGAGTTTTGTCCTGTAGCCTGTAGGCTAGTCTGTTTGCTTGATTATAGGTCTTTTCTTCTAAGTTTCTTATTTTCTTATGGGTTTGATCATTTGTTTCTATTAGACTGTGCTAAATGCATTAATACAATTATATTTGTAAATATAAAAGCATCCTAACATGTAAGTGTTGCAACTATGCACATCAAGGGTCCCATCTATTTTTCAATTTAAATAATACTAGGCATAATCTTGGGACAAGAACTGATCAACCCTCAAAGTAATTACTGGGAATTCTTAAGTAATCAACATATAACTAACAATATAAAAATTGGGCAACAGCGCTTCAAAAATAATATTGTGGTGCCTAGAAGCTTGAGTCATAGACCAGAATGCCATAGTGATAGGCACAGTACATAGAACAAAAAGATGTTCTCTGAAAAAAATGTGTTTTTTCCAGAATCATGGAATAGACTATGGCGATGTTTCTTCCAGAAAGGAGCTTAGAAAGAAACTCAACTGTAAAAGCTTTGACTGGTACATAAAGAACATTTATCCTAATTTAATACCTTTGACCACCGTTGTTGGCTATGGAACAGTAAGTATTGTGCATGTCTACTGAATAATGCCATAGTTAGATAATGCCAATATTATGAGGGATGTTCAAGGCAATTTCTTCTATGTTCTTCTAGTCTAACCTGGGTTACCCTTGTAAATTGGTCATATTCAGGTATTATTCACTAGAAATTTTAAAGGTATATTCAGTGACATCTTTCTGCAAAACTTTCTATACCTACTACATGGCTACGTCTAGATTGGCATAATTTTCCGCAAATGCTTTTAACGGAAAAGTTTTCCATTAAAAGCATTTGTGGAAAAGAGCGTCTAGATTGGCAGGATACTTTTCCGCAAAAGCACTTTTTGCGGAAAAGCGTCCGTGCCAATCTAGACGCGCTTTTCCGCAAAAAAGTCCCGATCTCCATTTTCACGATCGGGGCTTTTTTGCGGAAAACAAATCTGAGCTGTCTACACCGGCCCTTTTGCGCAAAAGCTTTGCACAAAAGGAGTTTTTCCTGAATGGGAGCAGAATAGTATTTCCGCAAGAAGCACTGATTTCTTACAGTAGGAAGTCAGTGCTTTTGTGGAAATTCAAGTGGCCAGTGTAGACAGCTGGCAAGTTTTTCCAGAAAAGCGGCTGATTTTCCGGAAAAACTGGCCAGTCTAGACACAGCCCATATGTATACTGTGCCCATTGCTAGTCTACAACATAAACATAAAATAGTATAGGAAGGTATTTAGGAAACATTTTTGTGCAACATAAGAATGTTCATAGAGCAGGGAACAAAAATGGATGAAATCTCTCCTTATAATTGACTACAGTGTTCAACAGAATATTACGCAGATACATCAAAGAAAATAAGTTCAATAAAGTAATCATTGTCCACTGTATACCTGTAAACAGGGCTTGACAAATAATACAATCTACTTGCTATTGGCGAATAGAGTGCAACCCGGAAGAGCCGGGTTCGGTGAGCCCTGCCTATAAATCAAGGGAAGATGGCATCTTTTAGTCACTCACAGTTAAGTTGCTTTTTTAATTTGGACTGGAACAATAATTATTAATGTCATATAGAAGGGAACGAGGACTGTGGCACCTTAGACTACATCTACACTGCACGATTATTTCAGAATAAGCGATTCTGGAAGATATGCTCCATAACAGCTTATTTCAAAATAGCGCATCTACTCTACAGGGAAGCCTGGAAATTAGTCCGAGGCAGGCTTCCCTAATGTGGACGCACAATGTCAATTTAGAAGCACTGGGGAGTAATTACTTTGAATGGTCTGGGGGAGGAGCTATTTTGAAATAGCTGTGGGGAGCATCCGCACTACTGCTATTCCAAAATAGCTATTTCAGAAGAGGTGTTATTCCTCTTGGAATGAAATTTACAGTAGGTGCTTGCATAGTATCCGTTATTCCGAAATAATGCTGCTCTGTAGATGTACCCTTTGAGACTAACAGGTTTATTAGGGCATAAACTTTCATGGATAAAACCCACTTCATCAGATGAGTTGGAGTGGAAATTAGGGTATGTCTACACTACAGCACTAATTCGAACTAACTTAATTCGAATTACTTAATTCAAACTAAGCTAATTCGAACTAGTGCATCTAGACCTAAAAACTAGTTCGAATTAGCATTTTGCTAATTCTAACAAGCATGTCCACATTGAGTGGACCCTGAACCAAGGTTAAGGATGGCCGGAAGCAGTGCCAGCAGGGCATCAGATTAGGACTTAGAGTGTGGAGCTGCTGTCTCAGGTTAGCCGAGGGCTGTGCTTAAAGGGACCCGACTCCCACCCCGGACAGACAGTTCTCAGGGGTTCCCCACTTGCAAAGCAGTCCTGGCTTGGAGTGCCCTGAGTGCCCACACTAGGCACATCACAGCACTCGGCCATCAGCCTGGCTGCACTTGCCACAGGCTGCCATCTGGGGGAGTCAATCGGGGGGCTGTAGGAGAGCTTCCACCCCGAGGAGCCTGCAGAGCCACCCCAGTCCTCCCCCTCGGGGGCTCGTACCCCAGTCCTCCCTCTCCTCCTTCCACTTACCCCTTCCTGATGTACAAAATAAAGGACACGTGTGTTCAAAAATAGAAACTCTCTTTAACAAAACTGGAGGGGGGGATTAGCCTCTGGGGAGATGGGAAAACGAGGTGGGAGAGGGGAGGGGGAAACCTGGGAGGAGAGAGCTGGAAAGGGGAAGCCGGGGAAGCAGCAGGAGGGGAAGTATCAAACTATGGTACACGATATCTTCAGTACTGTGTACAGATGTGATCTC